ATATGAGATTAATATAAAGTAAATATTGCAAAAGTAGGCTTTGTTAAAATATTCCATAATTAATACTGAGGTAGAATTGTGTATCCAATAACACATGAGTATGATAATGTTATTGGGGCTGCAAATTACATCTAGAGATTTGCTACATAGCCCCACAAATAAGAGAATACTAGCAATGTTGGAAAAGAATTCCAATTCAATAGCACATTATATATAGTTTAGGCAGCTTTAATCCTGAAGAATTTTTAAGTGAAACAAGCTCTTTTAAATAAACTATTCCTATTATGTTTTCTGTTACAATTGGTTTGATAATGATTTTTGACAAAACTATCATCACGAATGGAAGTGATTTAATATTATGAAGGTAGTATGAGACAAGTCATTTCTCTCTCATATCTGTTGATATATTGGCTGCATCTAGTCAGAAAATAAAAAGATACCACATAAGTAATAATGGAAGGTGAGTTAGGTCTGGTATATTCATTCCCTGGATCTCAGAAATACTTAAGATCTATAGTTGTGAATACAATATTTGCATGACTTAACATTATTTTCTTTTAATCTAGCATGTCGACAAAGTAAATTAATGAGTTTTACTAATAGTATAAAATGGAAGTAGTTCCATGGAGAGAGTGTCCTGTGTTATTTGGCAGATTTTAACGCATTTGATACTTTCATCACATTTCAATATTCATGTTCTTTACTCTAGGGAAATTGGTAGGGTGAGGGAGAACATATATTTAGTTGTAATCCTCCCAATGCTGTGTTTATACTGCTCTTGAAAAGCACGTGTTTGAGTGCAGAGGACCCTGTAAAGTTTGAGAGGCTCTTGTAGTAATAATGCCTTCTGTTGTTAAGACCACCACCAGCTACCAGGCACAACGCACAGCCTGAGAGCAAGACACATCTGCAGCTACCAGCGCACTCCATATACAGTCTGGTAAGATACATAGTACAAAGCCTTTCTCCTGATGCAAGTCATTGAAAAGTACCCAACCCATCTATAACAGAATCATGTTCCACTTTAAATATATATCTGATGACCCTCTAGGCAATTGCTTATCCTTAAAAGTATATAGTTTCCAGGGCTACGTGCACACACAGAGTGAAGCCACTTGATAAAGCTCCATGTCACTTTTCACCTCTCAACCTTTATTAAAGAAACCACCACACCTGCCTTTCACACTTTGAAAAGACTAGGTAAAACCCAGGAGGTGCACATGTCCTCGGAGCTAAAGCACATCCATTCATACAGGAAAGCCAGGGAAAAGGAAAGAGCCCGAGAAGAAATCGAATAACAAGCAGTGATGTGTACTGATCTGAGAAACATGCCAACCATTTGGTTCCGATAAATAAGAAGAGCAGAAGTAGATTTGAAACATTCTTTTCCCTTTATTAGCTCAGTGAGGCTGATGTGTACTGCACATTAAAAAAAAATCACAGGAATTTTCATACAATGAATAAAACCACAACAATACATGTAGAATTGGCAGGTGGAAAAGAGCCAGCAAGGGCTCAAACTAATCACTCACTTTCCCTCTTCAGCATAGTTCAACCAACAGTATCACACTTTCACCTACAAATCTTAAAGTATCTCCATCAAATCTGCAGTTTTCACATTATTGAAAATGTCTGTCACATAGGTACAAATTTAGAATCATCACATTATATTACATGGCTATTCTAGGTCATCTATAGATCAGATCTTAGACTACAGTGATTGAAGTTCTCAGTACAGCCATCAAAAAAGGACACATGATCATTACCTACTGTTAGCTCACATCTAAAGGCATGAAAAGGTTTCCTTTTTTCAACTGACCCAAACACTTTACCCCAATAGTGCCAAGTTCCCTCTCTGTTGCTTTGGATGTTGATAGCCCAACCTTTCTCAGAGTCCTTTACAAAACTGAGTTTTTGCACTAAAAGAATTATTCTGCTACATTTCTTTTTTTTTTTTTTAAATAAAAACCCCGCATTTCTAAAGCACCAGTTCGGGTACCAAAATTGTAGATGTAGTACTTACCACAGCATGAAGGCAATGGCCCATGGTCATCTGAATGTCTTATAGATCTATGCTGAAATTTGCCTCCCCTGATGGTGGGGTGCATGTGTTTTTTTGGAAATATTCTCTCCCCAAAGATGTAAAAAAAGAAAATGAAAGGAACACAGCTTACAGCTTATATTTTTATGGGCTACCCACAGTGTCTGCATAAGATACAAAAGCTTCACTAATTTTAGATGCAATTGGAAGTCCATGGAGGAAAACTATCTTCATGGTAACAAGATTTGTCAGGCCAGAGGGTGAGGGAGGTCAATGAATCCTCAACATGAAATCTGTAGTGTTGTCTTTTGATAAGTAAGAAAAGAAACCACGTATTTCAGTCATGTCCATGATAGAGGGCAAACAAGAGAACGTATGTATTTAAAGTTTGATCACAAAAATTTAAAGGCAAAATAGAGAACGCATCTGGTCCTTAAACACATAACAGGATTTACTAAATATTGATTTCTTAAAAATAATTTATTGCTCTTAATAGTCTTTTTTATTATTATTCTACAACAGAAGATACTCAAAATTCAGAAAGAAAGACTGTAAACTTTAGTTTGGCGTTCACAAAGAGTTAAAATACCTGCATTTAACCTACAGAACAAGAATTAGGCGGATTAAAGATGTGTTACTGTTGTAACGCAGAACCTGTGAACACAATTTTTTTATTTCATAGTTATTTATTGCTTTCTATCTACTTAGAAATGATAAGCCAAACACTTGAGCAAGCATCCGACAGGACAGACAGTGGATTCACTCAGAACACAATATGCTGGTGATAAATGAATGCAGCTGTCAAAATTAGCTGCATTGGCCTGGGGGTGAAACCCATTTTGTAAGATCGTGTTGGGTGAGAGGGGAAAAAAAAAAACGAGTAAGTAGTAGGTCTATCACATCTTCCAGAAAATTCATGCCAGCCAAACAGTAAACACATCTCAATTTGGAAATCAAATACACACTCCAAAGTTTAGGGACTTCCATGGCAGGGACTCCATACTCAGATGAAACCCCAATGCTCAAAATGGAGGGTTTTTTCTGACATTTATTATTATTATTATTAAATTTAGCAGAAGCAATGTCACCAAGAACAACATCATGGTCATATCAGAGGCCATGCTAGTGAGAGATGGAACACTGCTTCTGCAAAAGCTGAGTTTCCCAAATGAAGAACGTACACTCCAACCTGACAATTGCCATGCACCCTGGGTAGAAAGTCTCCACTGACCTTATTATTTTCATCATCTCATAATTTATAATAAATAGGCTATCTGCAACTGATAAATATGTCTCTTTAGTAAACAAAGGAATGAAATATCAGTATTTTACAGGATGTATAACTGTAAAAAATACAGATTAAATACCATCATCATACTCTGCCAAGGGAAAGAGATACTGGCTTCAAAGATAGTCTTCAGACACACATTGATTATTGTAAAAATCATACTGTAATTATTACCTCAGCATTTTGTATCAAATTAAAATCACAAAAATTAAAACAAAACAGCATTTTAAAAAGATTTTTTTGACCTCTAGTTTCAAAACTACTGTTGATAGAGAAAATAAAAACACTTCTTAATGGTTCCCCATTGAGAGACTTTACATAAAATCATGATATTGTCTAGAAAAATTTTAGATGAGAAAATTTCATTCCCCTAACAAATCCAGTGTATAAAACTTCAAAGAAAAACAAGCAACAAGAAAATGTGGAAAAATATTGCAGAAGTGGTTAATACCTTGAGGGGCCTAGGATTTTTGTTGTTGTTGACAAGATGCTTAGATTGAAGCTCACCTAAGAAGGGATGGATGTGCGTGAAGCGCCATTTTGTTGGACTTGCACTCAACGGACACACACACACACACTGTCTTTTGTTTTGTTTGTTTTGTTTTTTTTTACAATCAAATATATATAAGCAGTAAGTTTAGCTTCTAAATATGTTAGTGTACAATAATTGTTTCACCTCATAATTACATTTGAATATTCTTGATTAAGAAAAATTTAGCAGTTTTGAAAAGAAGGCTGCATTTACAGTGCATAGCTGTAACAAAAAAGAACATAGTTGTAGAGTATGTACATAAAATAAAAATACTCCATTTAACATCTGTAAATACTTAACTACATCAGAGAATGTAGCAATTACACTATCTGAACACATCCAGAGAGTTCTACTCAACTCTCAGTAGTCATGTAACACCACGTCTGCTCCTCAGAAGGAACCACTGAACATACTCCCCGCTTGACCAATGACAAGGCTTTTCAAAATTTGCAGTGAAAGATCAACATTGTGGACATATACATAGGTGTCAGGACAAAGGACAAACTACAGAAACTTCAAAATGTTAGGAAAGTTTAGCATCTGGTGCCTGCAGTATCCTCTCCCACCCAGATTCCATGGCAAAGGAGAGAGAGAAAAGAGAGAGAGAGAAGAGAGAGAGAGAGAGAGAGAGAGAGAGAGAGAGAGAGAGAGAGAGAGAGAGAGAGAGAGAGGTGGATAAGAGTTCTATGGAACCTGTAGCGTCTTCGGGATTGTCACGTAATCATTACATTGAGAGAGCTTGCTGCAGGTCGCTTTTGCACTTTCTGAAAAGACGGTACCGGAGGCTGACAACAGGCATCAGCAGTGTCATTTTAGGGTGGTTTGTGAGTTTCCTTTCCTTTTAATTTATATTTATTTTCCTTTTGTATAGAATACGAACATTTTGAAGTTGTAGGTTTTAAGTGTGTCTTCATGGAAATGCTGCCATTTGAAGGGGTTCGCCCTTGTTCGTTCTGGTCAGGTGCCCCAAGTCCTCACATGTGTACACATGTACTTCCCAAACAAGTACACACACACACACACACACACACACACACACACACACACACACACA